TCTGAGTGTCACCTGTCCGTCTGCCTCACCTGTCTGTCTGAGTGTCACCTGTCTGTCTGCCTCACCTGTCTGCGGAGCTCCTGCAGCTCCCTGCGTGCCTCCAGCCGGGACCTCTCCACCTCCCTCAGGCCGGCCCTCAGCTCGCCGGCCTCCCTCTCAGACGCTGCGCGGCTCTCCTCCATCACGGCCAGCTTCTGCTCCTTCTCCTCACACTGCCTCTTCACACTGAGGGACACACCGTCCCCGTGAGCCCTGCCCTCTGGCCACAGGGCCTGTCCTCCTGGGCAGCAGGTCTGTCCGTGTCCAGGCTGTGTATTACCAGTGCCCAGTGTCTGTGTCTGGTCTGTTTCCATTCTGTGGTCAGTGCTGCGGTCAGTGTTGTGTGTGTATTAGCAGTGTGGTCAGTGCTGCAGTCAGTGCTGCGGTCAGTGAATGCAGCGGTCAGTGCTGCGGTCAGTGAATGCAGTGGTCAGTGCTGCAGTCAGTGTTGTGTTCAGTTCTGTGGTCAGTGAATGCAGCGGTCAGTGAATGCAGTGGTCAGTGCAGCGGTCAGTGAATGCAGTGGTCAGTGCAGCGGTCAGTGAATGCAGCGGTCAGTGCTGTGTTCAGTTCTGCGGTCAGTGCTGTGGTCAGTGAATGCAGCGGTCAGTGCAGCGGTCAGTGAATGCAGCGGTCAGTGCTGCGGTCAGTGAATGCAGCGGTCAGTGCTGCGGTCACTCTCCTGACCTGATCCTGTCGCTCTCGGCGGCTCTCAGCGAGTCCCTCAGCTGGGTGTTGGAGGTGCTCAGGGTGTCCCTCTCCTTCGCCAGGTCGGCCAGCGAGCGCCGCAGCTCCGCCCCCTCGCGGCGCAGCCCCTCCCCCTCGTCGCGGGACTCGCGCAGCCGGCGCTCCGCCTCCAGCTGCTCCCGCCGCAGCGCGTCGCGGCCCTGCTCGCTCAGAGACAGCGCCCCCCGCGCCTCCTCCAGCTGCGCGGCACAGAGCAGCTGACACCCACACTCCTCCTGCTCCTCCCCTCCTCTCCGCCCTCGAACCACAGCTCCTCTCCCCCCTCTTCCTC